GAGGGTTGTGTATGTGGCCTTGGGCCCCTTAGAGAAAAAGAGGGGAAGAGAGAAACATAGAAAACAGAGCGAGCCGGAAGGGGCCTCCCGGGCCATCTAGTCTGACCCCCGGCTCCAGCCGGCTCCTCTCACGACAAGCCCAGCATGTGCACGTCCAGCCTGTCTTTGAACACCCTCACCGATGGGGCCTCCCCCACCTCCCGGGGAAGCCCATTCCACCCCCTCGGGGTCCTAACCGTCAGGAAGGGCTTCCTGGCATCCAAATGGAACCTGGGTTCCCTGAGCTTGGCTCCGTTGGAGGTGTCCTGCCTTCCTCCGCAGGGGAGAACAGGTCTCTGCCCCCCTCCGTGTGACACCCCCTCACATCCCTGTATGTCGCCATCAGATCCCCTCTGAGTCTCCTCTTCTCCAGGCTGAAGAGACCCAGTTCCCTCAGTCTCGCCCCTGCGAACTGGCCACCAACCTTGTGGCCCTACGCTGCACTGACTCCAACCTGGCTATATGCTTCCTGTAACGAGGGCCCCAAAACTGAACACAATACTCCAGTTGTGGGCACACCAGAGTCGTATAGAGTGGTAGTAATGCCCCTCTCGATATAGAAGCCACACTTCTGGCTATGCAACCAGGGGTGGTGTTCCCCCGCTTGACCACCGCATCACACTGCTGACTCATGTTTAGCCTGCAGTCAACCAGCACCCCGAGGTCCCTTTCACAAGTGCTGCTCTCCAGCCACTTATCACCTAACCTGTACTTATGACACCCTTTCCTATGCCCCAAGTGCAAGACCTTGCACTTCTCCACATTGACCGCCATCCTGTTGTCTCCCATCCACTTCCGTCTCCCGTCCACTTCCATAGTCTGTCCAGATCCTTTTGGAGCTGGAGTACCTGCTCCTCAGTTGTGGCCACTGCTCCAGTTTTAGTGTCATCTGCGAATTTGATCAGCAGACTGTTCACCCCTTCTTCCATGTCATTAATTAAAAGATTAAACAGGATTGGCCCCAGGACAGAGCCCTGGGGGACCCCGTTTATCACTGGCTGCCATCCTGATGATTCCCTGTTAATGGTTACCTTCTGCTTTCAGTCAGTCAACCATGCCCTAATCCACCAGACAGTGCTTTGGTTTGTCCTAAAACTCCTCAGTTTCTCAACCAGGATATCATGGGGCATTTTGTCAAGGGCCTTGCTGAAATCCAGGTATACCACATCCACTGCATCCCCTCCATCTAGCTATCTCGAAACCGTGTCATAGAATCCCACAAGGTCTGTCTGGCAGATGATGATGATGTAATAAATACATGAAAGAAAACCTTGTGCAGTTTAAGGGGACAGGAGAAAACAGCTGGAGTCTGAACTCATGAATGGAATGCAAAAGAAGGAAAGCCATCCAAGAGAAGAAGAAAGAGATGGGCAGTGCAGAAAAGGGCACGCGGGACCGGAGGACCATCGAATTTGGGAAAGGCACTTCCTTGCATCCCTTGGAGGCCATAAACCTGGGGACAGGGGCTGCTTGGCGGCTGGCTTTGGGCTCGGGGGGGGGGGGGATGGCCCAGCTTTCAGTGTGGGCAGTGCGGCGGAAAAAGCGAGCAGAGCGGAGCGCACAGAGCCCCCCTGAGGCTCTGCCCGCCTCCTTGGCCCCGTGTCAGTGGGCTGATCCCAGCTACCAGAGAAAAATCAAGCCCAGTTCCCAGCAACCTCCCTGGGCCACCGTCCAGTGGGACCCGCGGTCGCAAGAGGAGGGAGGGGGAACAGAGACCCATGCCAGGCTCAGGGGAGCAGGGGCAGGGCCGCCACGGGGAGCTGAGAAGAGGCGTCGCTGCAGGGAACAGAACAGGGGGGTCACTGCAGGAGGCGGCGTGGGAGAAGAGCACTTCCGAGCGCTTCCTCCCGTTTCCATGGGGGCCGCTGGCTGCGTTCTGCCCCATTGTTCGTGCGTGCATTTTGCCTTTCCGCTTCAGAAATGTTACAGGCCAGCTTTGGAAGGAGGCAACATGCTTAGCGGAGCTATAATTGTCTCCTATCGCATTCATTTGGCATTTTAAAAAAATGCTAATTGGGAGCCTCTCTTTTCTTCCCCAGTTTCCTCCCACCGCCTTTCTATAAATACTGTTGCTTGGAGAGGCCTTGTCAATGGGAGATTAAGCACGTAAGATTTGGCAACCTTGGGAATAATAATAATATTTTTAAAATAATAAGAGAGAGAGAGAGAGAGAGAGTGTGTGTGTGTGTGTGCGCGCACGCGCGCACAGCAAGAGCTGGAAAGATAACCGTAGCAGTGAGATTTCAGATGGAAATAACACACGGGCTCAACGGCTTCTGGCATTGTGCAGCATGGGAGGCGTTTTCATGAGCGGCTGGTTAACCCTCAAAAGCTTTGCTTCGGAAATGGCGCGTTCCTGCAGAAACCTGGGTGCGTGCGTGCGTGCGTGCGTGGGTGCGTGCGTGCATGTGTGTGCAAGCGGGACATACAAAAGGAAGCAAGACGGGGCCTGCTTTCAGGCGGGAGCGAAAGGGCCTTCTGGTGAGGGCGAAGGCTCCATGCTTAGGAAGGTTTAGAGGTCCTGGTCTGCGATCTTCTCATGGTTAAACTGAAGAGCTTGGACTTAAGAGCACATGCTGCAAGAGGTCAGTCACCGCCACCCCATTTGGTGGAGGCATCCTGTCATAAAAGACAAATGCAGTTGCCTTCTCATCACGCCCTCCCAGTGCACAGGCCTAGTTAAGTGTTTATTAAAAGATGATCAAGGGAAACAGAGGCGCCGCTTTCTGTACCTGCACCCAAAAAAACGGAAGAGTGGCCACAGGGGGGCTGCAGATTTGACCAGCGGAGCAGGGCCACAGCATCATGGAGGTGGGGGTAGCCCTTTTCTAAACAGCTCCCCTCTCTTCTCTGCTACCTTCCCACCCTGAGAGGAGGAAGATAAGCCGGGGTCCCTGTGGCTTTTCCTTTGCAGGCGGAAAAGCAACTGGAAGAGGCTGGCGTGGAAGCGGAGACCACCTGGGAAAAGGGTAACGCATGCACCCACCCACCCTGGCTGCAGCTCCACTAAAATTCATCCCTCCCCCCCCCTCCCAGCTGCATGTCAGTTAAAAAGCACCAAGCCGGGAGAGAGCCTGCAACTCCTGCCCTTCATAGTCCTGCCGAGAAGGTGTCGAGTCACTTTTCAGACTATTATCTCATTACATAAGGAAGTCACTTCACCCCCTCTGTGCCTGTAAAGAGGAGATAAAATACTTAATGTCTGCTCAAAGCTGTCAGGATTATACAGAGCTAAGTGGAACTATTATCCTGCTCCAACCTCTGGAACTGCCCAAAGAACTTGTCAAAAGAGGAAAAGAAAACTTCAGGGCAATCCTATGCAGGTGTGTGTGTGTGGGGGGGGGGAGTTAACTACTCCCAGAATCCCCAGGCTGGCTGTGGAATGCTGGGAGCTGCCAAAGTGTTTTTCTTTTTGTCTCAACCTGCGTAGGATTGCGCCTACAGGGGCTGCTGGAACATCACTAACCAAGCAACGAGGAACGAGGGAGGTTAACTCAGACAACGGCACACACAAATCAGGCCACAATCCAGAGGCTCCCCAGAGCATACACTTGTTTATTTAAGTGCGTACTTGCTGGAGAGGAAGCCCCACTGAAGCTGATGGGGCTTCTAAGGAAGTCGACCAGCGACTGAGCTGCAAAGCCGTTTCTCCTCTTGTTTGCCAGCATCTCCAAGGCCCCGTTCAAGCCAGGACTGCCCCGGAAGCCCGAACCTCTGCCCAATCTCCCCAAACCTCTCCAGAGTCCCGTGAGGATTCTCTTAACAGCCTCCATGGTAGGGAATGGAGGCAGCCTGGGTGTGGAGGAAGCCATGGGAGTTCATCCCCCCGTGCCACTGCCCTGTTTCCGCTTCCCTTCGCCAGCATGTGAACTCCTGGCCCCAGGAGCAGATGTCCTGGACGCCCTTCCTCTCTCGAGCGATGTGCAAAGGAAAGGGGGATCTTGGCAAATTTCCACTGCACTTCCCAAGGAAGGAAACAGGCAGCGCATTGGAAAGGAGATGGGGCCAGGCACGGCTATGGATAAGCTGCGGGTCATTCACCTCCCCACAACCCCACCAGCCTGCCTCCTGTGCCCCCAGTCCCTCCTCTGACCTTCTGTCTGGTGCCTCAGACCATCCCGGCTTCCTCTCCTAGCCCCACAGCACCCCACTTCCTTGGCCCCACTGCTTGCTGGGGCCCCACCCCGCCTGTCTGCAGCTAGAGGAACTGCTGCCGGCCCCACCTCCAGGGAGACAGCTGTGTGCAGAGACAGATGGCTCCGAGCACTACCGATCCAAACAAGTTGTGCCCCTAATTTGTCTTTCCCTCCTTCAGGGTAAGGGGCAGACAAGACGGGGGCAGCAGCAGGAAAGCACTGGAGGAGCATACATGGAAGACGGCCCGGCCCAGAAAATGCCAGGGATGAGGCAGGGCAACTGTATATACAAGTTCCCTCTGGAAGCGCCCTTGGCCAGCGTCACCATCAACGACGGGGGCAGCTGCACTGGTCCCCCGAGTACGTGGCCATGCAGGTGACGAACCACAGAGCGTGCGGGTGCCGCTTCTGCGAGCCTTCCTTGCGGCCCGTGGCATCAATTTTCAGCAGCTCCCAGTCCTTAATCGGAGGAATGTTGCCTGAAATAGGGGCCCCTTCCCCAGTGCATTTGTTTGATGAGAACACACGTTTCTTAAGACATTCTGCCTTGACAGGGAAGGGGCTGAAGGGGCTGACGTGCTTTTTGGGTACAGGCTGGGGTGAAAGCATAGCGGGAGGGCTGAGAGGAAGTGATCCGAAGGAAGCCAGAGGGTTTTGCATGCACCCCTGCACTGCGATGCTGCTCTGTCGACTATGGTGCATCACCCTGAAACGCTTAAAAACCCATCTGTGCAATCAGCACCGCCCAAGCAAAAAGGCAGCCACAGACGGGCGATTCCTGGACCATGAGGCACCTGCCCTTCCTGCCCTCGGGGGGGGACTCACCGTCCTCGGGCTGTGGTGTCTGCAAAGGCGCGCACGACGGCCACCAAGTTGTGATGATGCTGCGAGACGTGGCAAAGGGATCTGCACAACTCCGGAAGCTGTCAAAGGAAAGACGTTCTGTTGTGCCGCTCCAGGGTCCAGGCCCCAGAGACCCGGCCAAAGGCGGTTGGTGCCACCCAGACCATTCAATTGTGCTGCGCAGGCAAGCTCCGTGGAGGAGCTGTGGTGCACTTTCCATAGTACTACAGGTTGTAACCCTGTAGTAGTGGCTTACACTGTACTGTAGTTCACGCTGTGTGTGCATCTCCCGCCCACTGAGTGCTGTCCACGCGGCTGGATGTGCTGTAGCTGTGTGGGCAGGGAAGTGACAATTCACCCAAATACGCCATTCTCCCTCCCATGGCATTTTTCTGATCAATTATCACACACATTTGTACTAAAGCATTTTTAAGAGGACACCATGGTTGCCTGATGGTGTCAATAAAATTAAAAAGCAGCGAAAGAAAAAAACATGAAAATATGGATGTATAAACCTGCAGACTACAAAAATTGGAAAGCAGGATGTTGGGTCTTTCTGAAATAATAAAAATTATTATTATCATTATTATTTTTATTTTGAATGTGTGCTAAAACTCTTTTTCACTTAAGGGCTATTGTGCATTTTTAAAAAATGTAGGCACAGATTATCAATTTAAAAATCAGTTAATAATGATACACAGCTAAAATAATGTCAGCTGGAAATATAACACTAAAGGTGTGCCAATGCTCAACATATCACCGCAGAGTGGACAGAATTTGGGATGTCCCAAATTCTGCCTGGTAAGTCAAAAACGCTCCTCTTCAAAAAGGTGGAAGGATCATTCCAAGGAGATCTCTTTCTGGGAAGCTTGAGCTACTGTCCTAGTTCTTCAAATCTCAATTTCTTATCTTGAAAGTTTGGTCCCAATTATTATTAGGCACAATCATACAATATTAGGGAATATTTCTGGCAATCCCCTACCCCTTTTGCATATACTGGGGAAACTGAATACAAAAATGTACTTGGGAGATTGCATGCGAGAATGCAGGCCAATTTTTGTGCAAAAAAAAAATCACAATTGGCTGTGGAAACAGGACAAATGAAACTTCAGGCTGGGAAGCTGAGAAATAGGGTGGAGGAGAAATCCTCAGATTTTTCCATCCCTTCGTGTAGGTGAGCTCTTGGATGGACTCGCATCCTTCCAGATTCTGGAAGCTCAGGCTGCCTGGCCTGCTTGAGGGATCCTCAGCCCTCCCCTGAACTTCCTCCGGAGGAGGGGGTTGTTCTCCGACGCCTGGAGAGCTTCCATAGCACAATCCCAGGGACAGATGCCTGCCTACGAACCCAGCACAAGTCTGCTGGCCCGCTCTTTGGCGATGGGCCAAGCTTCTGGAGGCCTCTTCCTGCCCTTGGAGCTGGGGGGGTGGTGCTGAGGCATCTTTCTGGGGGGCTCCAAGCACCCCCTGCGTGCCCTACGATGCCTGGGACAAGCCCCCTTCCTTCCGCCTTGGCGAAGCAGAGGGCTAAGCTTGCTGAACCGACCAAAACCAGCCACGCTTTGTCGTCTCCTCATCCCAGGGCTTACATTACGGCATTTTGACAGCTCTCCTCTCAAAGTACCTCTTGCTCAGAATAAAGCGTTGGCTTTGGAAGGTTATAATCTTCCCAAGTGACTGGGAAAAGAAAGGACAACAGAAAGCGAGAAAAGGACGTTCTGGCACGACGTTCTTGGCAGCAAACGCACCAGCCTGCAGCACAGTGCGGGCAACACAATGCAGGCAACACGCACCCGGCCTGTCGGCCACCACTGCTCCCATGTCCTTGCGATACTCGCATGCAACTGCAGCTGACCCACACTGCGAGCTTCCCTCCACGCGCCCGGCCGGAATCGCTCCCTGCAGAGCCCTCTAACAAGTGCACAGACTCACGCCCAGGCACTGTTTCCCCTCTGGAGCGCCTTCAAGGCCAGATGGGAGAGGGGACGGGGAGAAGGAGCCGCACGGCGCTCGCCTTCCCCAGCAGGTTGCCATGGCCCCAGCCAAGTCAGGCACGCCAGTCTCAGCCAAAGGCACGCAATGCCGGCAGCCTCGCCAGGCTCTGCAGGGAATGGCAAAATCAAGGCCTGTGCCAAAGGTTCATTAAGCCTTGCAATTAATTAAGCAGCCACTAAATGGCAGGAACGATTGGCTGAGTTGCACAGGGAGGCAGGGCACACGTGGTCGACACCCGGTCTCCAGCATGGAGCCAAGAATGACGAGGGCGATGCCAGCAGATAGACCAAAATATCCCCAACACGGGAGCAATGGAAAAATCCAAGCCGGCCTGCTTCTACGGGGCATGCAAGGAATGATGTGATTTTTACTGTACTCGTTCCTGCCATTCCACAGACAGGGCAGGCCCCGAACGCTCAGCACTAATGACAATCACCAGCCTCTGAGAGCAAGCTGCAAGCCATGCAACTCAAGCAAATCTGCCTTCCTTTCATCAACTATTCCACTTCCGTGACCCACATTTGTAAAGCAAAACAAAAGTGGGGAAAACGGCGATGCAGAGAGGGGGAAGATGGAAGAATCGGAAGAGGAGAAGGCAGGCGGTGAATGGGTGCAGTAGCAGGAATCGGGAGTGGGGGAGTCCCTGGGGATCCCCCCCCGCCCCCATTCCGTACACTCCTTCTCTAAAGGCACTGGTGGAGCAAGCGGGTTTCTGTACCACTTCCCAGCGCTGCCACTGGTGCGTGCAGAGCCAGCTTCAACTGGGTGCCCGGGCAGAAGGCGAGATCAGCACTGCCCAGCTCTGTGAGCCGACACCCCAGGGGGCTCCCCGGGTCACTCTGCATGCGGCTTTGCAGGGGTATGATTGAACACCTCCCGCTTACAGTCCCGCCTCATTTTTCCGGGCTGGGCTCCTGTCCTTCGAACAGCTTTGCCACGCCAGGAATTGGAGCTTCCTCATCACTCTTCTTCCCGCAGAGAAGCTTCAGAGCATGGGGGCCCCACCAGCAACCCCGTGGCACCTTGGCATTAAGACAGCAAATAGAGAGGGAGGGAAGAGAGCCACATGCCGACACGCTCCAAAGTGGGATGCAATGTCCACTCCGGAAAAAAAGGGGGGCGGGCCTGGTGCAGGGGGGCATTACAGCCCTGACCCTGATATTCGCTAGCCAGCACCGTCCTGCTCTTACAGGCACGACTGCCAATTCCCCCTTTTAACAGCTTCTCTTCCTGTGTCTTCAGCAGGAACCTGACAGAGAGAGATTTAGTGCATGACCTTTCCACAGGCACGGAAATGCGTTGCTAAGAAAAGCGTTGCTGGCGAAAGGTTTGTGCCAACAGCAGAGGAGCAGGGTGGGTGGCGAGAAGGTGGCAGCCTTCCTGCAGTGGGCCGTGTGAACCAGCACTACCTTTTCCTGCCAGTCCTGGACTCCTTCGAGGAGGACCAGCAGCAGCTGCTGGAGCTCCATCTGCAGCTGCTTCCCCAGGTTCCTGTCGAGGCTGAGCCGACACAGAACGGCGAGCAGGACCACGCGCTGCCGGTCCGGGTAGCGGCCCGGGTGGGATGCCACGCACAATGTCAGGAACTAGGAAGGAAAGGAGAGATGCACACAGTGCCAGAACTTCCCCACGGGCTGATTCTAGCAGGGCTGCAGAGGAAAGGCGGGCTGGGAACGAGGCCGGGGCCCTTCCCCAGGCCTGACCCACTTGGAATGCTACGGAAGGGCCTTCCGGAGCTTTTCCTCGGCCCGGCACGCTTTCGCATCTGCATGTTTCCTGCGGAACGGCTGCAGCGAGCGAGCCGTGTGAGGGACAAAGAGCCACACGGCAGCGGTGGCTTGGGAGGGACCTGCCTCTGGTGGCGTGTCGCTCTGGCAGGAAATGGGGGTCAGCCCGATGGGCACGTCAGGCCCCAAGCCCCCAGACCAACCCTGGGTCAACTGCGACACTGGCTGCATGGCGCCTGCGTGCCCGTGTGGTCTGGGGCACTGAGGGGCCCAGGAGGACGGCACTGGGGGCAAATTAACTGGCTGGGATTGCACGGCGTACTAAGCCACGCAGCCGCACACATACACCGGATTCCCCCTAAGTTTCGCTGCTCCCAAGGTGCCGGGAACTCAGCGTCGGTGGCGGGGGCTTGCAATCTCCCTCAAGCCCCCAGGATCCTCACTGCAAGTGGGGGGAGTTGAGGGGTGCCCCCCAACACGCTTCGAAGCGTTGTCTTTGCTTTTTTTCATGGGGGGGGCAGAGCTTGTGCCTCTGGGTTAACCATATTTGGAAGAGTGAGGGCTGCCCAAGACCACATGAGCCCCTCCACAAAATGAGTGGAGAGGCTGCTGCTCAGGGTGCTTGCCCCCCGCCCCACCCCAGTTTTCCCAGGCACTCGGTGTTCTGGAAAGTGTGCTTGTTGGGGGACACAAAGTGCAAGGCACAGGGGAGGGTGAGGAGTCGAATAAGTTCGCCTGGCACCATCTTTACACTCTTTTCAGTGCCAGGAGAAAGCAGCTCTCTTCTCCAGACGTTTTAACAACTGACTGTATATTAGGATGTTATTTATTCTGTTTTTAGCCTCAGCGTATTTTAACTTATTGATATCTGACTCCTTGGCTGCCTATTCTCTGTTGTACTGTATGTCGCTCTTATGTGTTTTAACTCTTGATATTATTTTATGTAATACTGCTGCAATCCTCTTAGAGAGGCTAGTTATAGAGGGATACAAGTTGCATAAATAAGTAAGCTGTGAAGAAGGGCTGGAGTCAGGGCTTGGCCCAGTGCTTCACACCGTCCTAAGAAGCGATGGGGTCCTGCTTCAAGAATTCCTCCCCGGGGGTGAGTCTGGCTCCCTGTCCTGCGGTTTCTCTTGGGGCACCTCACCTGTCTTACCTGCTGCCATCCCCACCTTTGGCTGTCCAGGACCGGGGGTCCCGGCCCCTGTTCCTGCAGGAATGTGGGGAAGGCTTTATAGAATCACAGAACGGCAGAGTGGGAAGGGGCCACGAAGGCCATCCAGTCCAACCCCTGCTGCTGCAGGACACCAAATCCCACTCAGATGGCTGTCCTGTTTCTTGATAGAATCACAGAATAGTAGAGCTGGAAGGGGCCATGAAGGCCATCAGTGTCGCTGGGGCCAGACCACCAAGATCCAACCCAGTGCCTTCCCTGACGCCATCCAGGGATCAAAAGGTAGGGTGCGGGAGGTTGCGGCCGGACGGGGCCAGACATGCCAGTGGACGAGGAGAGGCAGAAGGGAGGAGGGCCAGAGTGACCGGCTGCCTTGCCCCAAGATCCTTCAGTGCATCCGCTGAGCGCTTCGCTGCTCACCCAAGATTCCCCGCCCCAAATCTTGCTTGCTAGGCTGCCTCCGGGCCCCGTGATGTGATGCTCCCGGGCCCACTCATGCCTTCCCTTTGTCCTGGACTTGACCTCTCCTTGCCAGCAGGCTGCGCTTGAGATCCTGCCGGCCCATGTCCTCTGCCTGGGCCCTTGCAGAGAGTGGGACCGGCTCCGCGACCGAGGCTCGCCGCTGTCATTCGAGATGGCAGCAGCCCCAGTGCGTGAAATACCCCAAGCAAGCGGGGATTATAGACGGTGGCAGCCAAGCTGAGCTGCTGCCTATCTGAATGTGTCCGCTGGCAATAAAAGGCAAATTAGACGTGTCACGCAAGGGGGAGGGCGCTGTCAGCTTTTGCAAGATGGATGCTGCCTTTCCCTTGCCAAGAGGAGCAGTGTGCCCGCGTAGAAGGCACACTGGAAAGGCCAGGCTGATGAGCAGAGTGGTGCCAACCCGAAGCCACATTTGGCTGAGCGGTGCTCCCCTGCGAAGGAAAGATCCCGCACATGCCCCGAAGGTTTGCCTGCGCGGTTGGAGAAGGACCACAGGGGGAACTGACCTCTGGCTGGTTCCTGCCCTGCCACCAGTCCAGATCGGATCTCACGGATCACTTGGTGACCCCATTTCCCCACTGATGCAAAGTGCAATACGGCCGGGGGAGTTTCACAGCGATGGCAGGGGCTCCCTGCCTCCCCGTCAAGGGCCAGGAGCGCAAAAGGGGGGCTAGATTCAGGGCTTGGCCCAGCCGGTTAGCCGGCCCACTGACTGCACAAAGCTGTGTCTGCACACCTTTCCTTCCCAGTGCCCACAAAACACCCACGAGCCACTGCATTGCTTGTCTCACCCGCCAGAAGGGATGAATGTTCACCGTGCTTCCTTAACACCTGTGCCGCTGGGCAAATCGCTCAGATGGAGAAACCCCGGGCACCCCGGCCTGTTTTGCAGAGCATCGGGGGTCCCGATGGCACTGGAGAGGCGCTGAGGCCTCCTTGGGGGACGGCACTTGCAGCCCAGAAGGTGCAGCTTCCCCTGCAAAAGTGCCCATCCCCCCAGCCACATCAAATGGTCACATATTTTCCCCTGGAAAATATTCAGCCCCCAGCCAGTTACCCGTTGCGATCGCCTGTAGGATGGGGTTCTACCCTTGCCATAGCTTCCTAGCAGCACGAGAAGTGGCCGCCACTGAATGCTGCCCTTCAGCAGCTTGTCTTTATGAGGCCGGCCTCTGGCTGGGATCCACGCAAACCTTGGAAAACGGGTCCTCGCGGGCGGCACTTTTCGCGGTGCTCGGGCTCAGGCATTCATGACAGGAAGGTTTCTGTGTAAGGAGCGGCTCTGGGGCATTTAAGGCCCGGCTGATTCCAGCAACGCTTTCCCCACTTGAAAACCCTAAACCGCTGGTTAGCAGCGTCACAACGAGCTGCCACAGAGATGATGGCGCTGTGTGACAAACAGGATCAGGAAGATGGAAAGGAAGCGAAGCGGGTGGCAGCGGAGATACAGATAGAGCTAAGCCACGGTGGAGTGGATTAGCGAAGACGATGCAAGCACTGCCTTCCCAAGGCCTCCTTTCAATGGCCTCTGGGCTTTTGAATGGACGGGAGTCTAGCAGAAGTCGAATCTGGGCTGGAAACCAGGCCTCTGGCTTGGGAAGGAGGATTCCCAGAACTGACACATTCAGGGCCTTCTCACACATCGCATGCTTTGGAAGCAAGCCCCATCTCTGCTAAGGGATGGCCGCTGATGCGGATGGGCGTGCGCCTGGGAACAAGCGCAGGCGAGCTCCGCTTCATGTCTTGGCCCCTCAAGATGCGGGACCCTGACATTCTAAGCTGATGGCCTCCTACCCTCGCCCGAAGGATGCAGGTGCTCTGTCTGCCTCCCCACCCCGATGGCTCATTTGGTGGAACACTTGTCTGGTGCTTTATTTTAAAACAGAAAAAAGATCCAACCATTTGAAAACACCTTTTTGACTCTTGAAACACTGCTCTATAAGAATCCACTGGGAAAGGATCTCCCCATGATCAACCCAGCTCCCGGGAGGGGCTTCTTTTGCCCGAAAGGCAAGGCTTGGGCTCCCCACTGTAAAGACAATGTAGGTTTGAATGCCCCAGGTATGTGCCCAGCGCCTACCTTAAATATATCTCCAAGCATCGCCACCAAGGTGGCTTGGCAGGGGCCTTCCCCAGGCAGGCTCTCGGTCCCAAGGCCTGCAACTCCAAGGTGCTCGGAAACCCTGCAGCAATGGGAAAGGCCAGAGGAGGTCAGCAAAGGGGGCAGTACTGAAGAATTGAGGATAAATGTATTAACAGCAGTAAGATTAATAATGGCAAGGAGGTGGAAAAGAAAAGGTGAATATCATCTAGCTGACTGGTATAAAGATGTCTGGAAGATAGCTATTAATGATAAGTTAATTGTGATATTAAATGGAAAAAAGGTTTGATAAGTGAAAATAAATTTGAAAGTATTTGGAAACCTTTTGTTAAATACGTTTTAATAAAAGGAAAGGGGTGTGAATCGGCACAAGAGTCAGTGCAGTTCTGGAAGGGAAGTGGGGGCAGCCTGAATGAATAAATGATCTTACAGTAAGTAAACAGAGTTGTCGGTCCTGGTGGAGGTAGCACTGATGTTGATGTATAGTTTGATCAGTGATGTTTAGTCCAAAGTGTTGCTATTGTGTTAATTGTATTGTTTTTCTTAGTTGTAAAAAAATAATAAAGGGGGCAGCCCTAGAGAACTGGACCCCCTCGGGGAGGAGAGCCAAGCTAGCCTCTCCTTTCACCAGTCGGCACAATCCAGCGGGTCCCCCTCCTGCCCGAGGGCCTCCAGTCAGCAGGCACCGTGCGCTGGTTCACCTCTGCAAACGTCCAGAGTGGAATGTGCAGGGGGACCTTGCAGAGCATGATGCTCCTCTGGCCTTAGCGGCCGTTTCTGAGGCAGCTGCTCCACCTTAGCTTGTGCCCACAGCAGCCAGTGGCAGCGCTTGCGACAGGCCTTGCATGGGATGGTGGCTCCCCTGTGGGCGCCAGGTAACGATGCAGTCTAGAGTTCGCCAAAGAATCAGAAGAGTTTTCTGGCTCCCGATGGTCATTTTGAAAAAGGGAGTTGCTTTACTAAGTCACAGCATACCTGTCCCTAAGGGTGAAGGCTGGGGGAAAACTCTAATTTAGAATATGTATTATCGGCATGTTTTGAAAAGGTAGTTTCAGAATCTAATGAACGCTGCTCTCATCAACTGGGGGCACTTCCAGATGAGGCTTTGACCGTGCGGTGGCCTCACTCGCAGAATTTTGCTAGGGTCCGGCTGTCTGACCCTGGCAACCCCACTGCCTTCAGTATTTCTTCAGTTTCTTCAGTGTTTTTCTTCCCAGAAAAAGTACTTATGTTACTGTGGGCTATCGGCACAACATCTTGGGGGTGATGGCGCTAGAAGCCCTTGATTCACAATGCGAGCTTTACGGGGAAAGACGCTCTGGGTCGCAGTGCTGTGGATTTTCTGGGGGAAGAGTTTCACAGAGCATTCGAGGGCATCCAAAGGGCAAGAGGTGCACATTTTCCACAGAGAAGGCCCCATGTCCCACCCGTGGCTTTTCCAGGTAGAAAAAACACCAGGCAGGGCAAGAGCAGATGATGCAGGTAGATGGACTGCCTTTGGGTGCTTCACACCGGCCGAAAAGGTAACTGCAGGAATGGCGATTCTCCTGGGGAGGCAGCTGGGCACCCTGACGGGGGCTTTTCAACATCTCAGCATTGCAGCACAGGGACACCCTCACACCTGAAGAGCACAATTGTGTCACGGCGAAAAGGCCCGGGGGCACGCTCTGCGATACAGGGGTGTTGAGCCTCAGGCCCATGAACTGGCCTGCCGGGGGCCCAAATCCCCTGGCCAGCCGTCTCCTCCCCTCCCAGGGCCTGCCCCAGTCACTGCCTGGCTGTTCCACAGGAGAGGCTGAACTGCCTCTGGGAAACCCGCTGCAGGGATGCACACTGCTGTTGTGTCCCCACCCCTTTGGCCTCTGGCCCCTCCCCTCGCACCCTCAGCCCCATCTGGCACAGACGTACGGCCCACGAGCTCCTCCAGAATTAAATCTGGCCTTGGGCTGAAGCGAGTTTGACACCACTTCTCCGGTGAACAAAAGCATCTCCTAAACTGTGAGCGCTGCAACTTTACGTGCCTCATTTTCAAGACAGGACAGGCCGGGCTTCAGGGACTGGGTGGACCTCCTCTGATCAGAAAAGAGCTGCCTCCGTGCCCCGGCAGAAGCAGTTATTTGTGTGCTGCCTGGAGGACCACCTGCCCGGGATCCGGCACCCCGCCCTGCTTACGGCTTGACATGCTGCAGGGCCGAAAGCAAGTTCTGGGGCAGCCTGGCTTAGATTAAGTAAACCTGGGCCCAGCTGTGAGCCTGGGCTCAACGGGCCAGCAGTGTTCCCCACAGGCCCGGGCCATCTCAGCAGCTTCACAACCCTCTCTTTCCGTGGGGACTGAGCAAACCCAGATGAGCTGAGTCCAGGGATAATTCTGCTCGCGAAGCCGTCTCCCCTCCGCACACCCGGAATCACTTGAGTCAGGCATGTTGCCGGCTGCTATTTTGAGAAATAACTTCATCCTGTCCCATGGGGGGAAACTTCCAACATGAGCTTTCATCATGGTAACGTGAAGCAAAAGGCGATTTCACGCTCTGCTCCAGATTCTGCTCAGCTAATCTAACTGGGGGGGGGGGGGCACTCACTTCTCAGCCCCCGCCCCGCGTTCCCATTAGAAACCTCCAATTTCAAGCCTCAATTTCTCAGCTGTCTCAAATTGCTTTTGGCTGAAACAGAACACGCAAGATCAGATGGGAGTTTTGGTTCCCCCACATACACACACACACACCCCTCTTTTATTTCTTCCCCCCTTCATAACGAAAAGTGATTTTTTTAAAAAGAAAGAAAGAAAGAAAGAAAGAAAGAAAGAAAGAAAGAAAGAAAGAAACCCTCTTTTTTATTAAAAGGCTTTCAGCTCAAAATTCTGACCTACATTGAAGACTGTATAATTTAATCAGGATGAAAGAAAGTGAGTCCTCTCGTTTCTTAATGCCACATTTTTAACTCTTCCCATCCTGTCAGTGAGAATTTTGATCAAAACAAGCACTATTTTCATATTCTCTGGGAAAACACACCAGTACACCACCATCCCACGATTTATGCCAGACGATAGGCATTTTCACACATGAGGCTTAAATCAGCGTGCAGTAAGAACCTAAATCAAGCTCTGGTCGGAAAGCGCATCTTATCTGCCTTTCGATATCAGGCTGGGATTAAGTAGATAAAGTCTGGCTTGGTTCTCAGTACCTCCCATGGAGTGGCCCAGGATAAAGTCTCAGGGCACCGGATGGAGTTAGGTGAGGCGGGAAGGAGCGCTGATTCCTGGGATTCCAGAATCACACGAGAAAGGGGAAGGCTAGGTCGGGCAGCCTCAGGAGGGGTGTCCCTGAAGAAAGGGGAAGGGTTGCCACCAACGGTGTGCAGAGAAGCTGTTTCCCAGCCCTTGGAACACACGAGCCATGCTTTTGCACATCAAGTACCTTTTGCTGATGTGCGTGTGTGAACAGATGCACGTGTGATTTGCACCTACGTTGCACTCCCCACTTAACTAGTTGGGCAGTGGTGTCATTTTGGGGGAGGTCGAAAGGGGGCACATGCTGGTGCAGTGCCAATGCAAAGCAGGTTCCCGGGCACCTTTTGGCCCCGAGCGCCACTCGTTCGTGCATGCACTCCATGGGCCGTCATTCATCAAGAGTGATGTGCGGCAGTTTGGAATGATTAAAAGTGCAAACATCCAGAAAGTGCAACAAAACTTCATGAATAAAGCAGCAGATAAGAGATAAAACAAACAGTATTTAAAACTCCTAAGCAAATAATTTCTGGATATGTGGTCCCATTAGTCTGCTACAGCAAAAACAACTTAGATTCCTGGGGAGCCTTGGATAAATTTATTCTGGCTTCTGTGAGCATCTGATGAAGAAGACCATAGTCTGCAAAAGTGTATGCCAGAATAAATCTGCTCATCTTTCAGGTGCCACAAGACTCTTTGCATTTTTCCAAGCTAATAAAACGCGCTAGCAGCAAGCAAGCCTCTTTGAGGATGGTTTGCAGCTGGAGCGTCCGAGTCCAGAAAGCCCCTCTTCAGCTGATGAGAGATGGACAAAACGGTTAGTGACAGATACAGTGGCCTATGAATTTTGGGAAATTATCAACCTCCGAGATCAAGTGTGCTAATTCTTACATATCTTGATTAGATGAATTAGAAAAGAGGTGATAATGGTGCTGGTTGGCTAAAGCTTTCAAGATATTTCACAATAAAGATTTATACACAGGTGGGAAAATTTGCCTGCAAGGGAGGGAGCTGTCTGATGATCATGATGCCTCGCAACTTCTCAACAAAGTACGGTAGAACAATGAAAATGGTACCGCATGGAAGTGCATAAATTTATCTTCACTTTGAGACTAAATATTATCACCTAACTGTAATTTATTGTTCTTTTATTGCAAGGTATATTTGTCTTGGTCAGATCTACGCATCATACAGTTCCATCTGGCGGCTTGTGAAAGTGTCATTGCCTAACATTTCCAAGGAACAGTTGCCTGATATTTTCCCTCAGAAGCCAAGATGCCTTGAAACTGTGCAAACAACACACATAACTTCCGCTACATTTGTGGCGAGGTTATATTTGCATCTCAAAAGTGCAGAATGACAGCAGTGGTAAAAAAGGCAGACCACTTATATTTGGGATGCAAAATTGGGGATCAGGACGAGAGTTGGGCCTCTCATTATTGTTGCATTACATGGGCCACTTATCTGCATCATTGGCTAACCAAGAAAAAGAAGTCCATGCCTTTCGCAGCCCCAATGGTGTAGAGGGAACCCACCAATCACAGCAGCGACTGCTATTTTTGCATGGTCCCCCAATTGCAAAAGGGACCTCAAGGACCATGAAATGGCCAAACATTCCATCCACACTGTGTCCTGTGCCCAACCGTGAGAACTTGCTAATTCCAGATCCACCAGGATCCCACTCTCTAGACTCAGATGATGCTAAAGACGATGAGCAGGATGCAGCTGATTTGGGGCCGTCGATGTCAGTGGACCCAAACTCTAGCCCACCATATGCTCCTCCTGAACCACATCTAATTTCACAGAGTGAACTAAATG